TCTCCACTTAGCCTTAAGGTCCGTTTTCCAGTGTCGGAGCCAGAATATACGCCTGGAGGAGACCGTGGATGCTAGGGCCCGGGAGGCAAACTTCACCGAATTCAAAGAAGCATCCGCCGAATATTCGGTGGCAACCACAATCTTATTTATGTCCTGATGTAATCTAGTCTCCTCCGGAGGCAACCTTTGTTGAAGTTGCTTTAGCCAAATGAGAGAGGCTCTATTAAAGAAGGAAGTCGCGGTCGCTGTTTTGATAGCCCAGGCGACCGCCTGGTGAGACCGACGAAAGGCCAATTCTGCCCTGCGATCCTCAGATCTCAGTCCGTCCAAGGAATCAGTAGAAACCACGGAGTTGGATGCCAGGGAAGCCACCGGAGGATCTACAGTTGGAAGAGCTAAAAGATCCTCGAGTTCTGGTGCTGCGCAATACAGTTTTCTGTCCAAGGTGCTGGGAGATGTTAAGGACCCAGGTTGACCCCAAGGGGACTGCAGCACATCCAAGAACAGGCGAGGGCATGGAATGACATCTTTGTCCGGCTTAGCCGAATGGAATAAGGCATCGTGGGGGCCCGTGGAAGTCGAGGCGGTCGACGGATCCGGAGCCTGAGAACTTAAATTGGTCGTCATTCGGGCCTTGTGCAGCAAAGATTTAAACATAGAAGGATGAAACAACCCCGTGAAGGCTGGGGCGTCCGGGGTTAATCCCTCATCGTCGGAAAATTCGATGTCCTCGGGGCATTCCTCGCCCTGATCAGTCAGTCTGGGAAGCTGAAGACGGCTGTCTCGAGACCCGGGAAAACGTGGCCTGATGTTGCTGTTGGGCTGTCTGCACCGTCGAAGGAAGCAATGAAGCCTGAGATGCCTGATGAAGACCAGCTGCCAGGAACAAAGAGAAGGCCGAAGAGAAGAAGGCTTGAAGATCCATCGGAGGGGCAGGAGTGGCCCCTTCAGAGCTTTGAAGGCCAGCCGCCGTCGGGGTAAACATGGCCTCCGGCCGGGCACGAGCAGGACCCTGCAATGGAGCTAGGCCCACTCCTGACACATCTGGCAAGGATTGGGACACTCCTTTTGACAAACGCAGTTGTTGAGACATCTGGGCCTTCTCATGACTGTCCCGGTCCGGTGAAGATGCCAGGGACCTGGAGGATGAAGAAATGCCAGCCACGGATGCAGAGGCGGCATGGTCAGGGGCACATGAATCAAGACCCACTTCTGCGACAGCTGCCCGATGGGCCTTGTCCCACTGCCTCTCTAGGGCGTTATGGCGGCGCTGGGCATCTCGGTCCAGTCCCTTAGCCGCTTTTGACTTGTGGGATCTGCGGCTTGAAGACTCAGATCTCGATTTTGAGGACTTTTTAGCCCGCTTAGGTTGTCTGTGCTCAGGGCTATGGTCGGGCTCCATATCGGATGATAACGCGGGATCCGCCATGGCACTATGGAGATGAGCAATGGAATCAGTCCAGAGACCAGACTTTTTTTTTTTTTTTAAGGAGAGGTGGCCCTTTAAATATCAAATTAGGTTAAGTAGGCCAAAGGCTGTCAAGGAGTCCGTCAGATTGGTTTTTTTTTTTGAAAGGCGGCCCCTTTAAATCTCAGAGTAGATTAATTAGGCCAAAGGGACTGTGAGACTGTCCAGGAGGTCGTCGCCCGACACTGCGTGACAGCCCCAGACTCCAAGGAAAAAAAATTGACAGCTCCAGCAATGAGCGCTTTAAAATGGCGCGCTCCCAACACCGTCCAAAATGGTGCCCGCCGCTGCTTTCACGCCAGAAGCCAAACGTATATCCCGCGGCTCCTCGGGACAGCCAGGCGAAGGAAGGCCTTGACGATTCGCCAGGAGGAATCAACAGCGGAGAGCGCACCTGAGACGTGACGCTTCTCCGGAGCCGCTCAAGCCATAGCGTCTTTTGAATTTGGCGGCAAGCCTGCGCGCCAATAATTGGCTCCAATGCGGCCGGGTACAGCAGTTAGAATCACGGGGAGCGCACCAACGAGTGACACAACCCCGAAGCCGCCGATGACAGGAAAGGAGCAGTGGCGATAGCGGCAATCCTGCACACTCGGCCCACGCTCGTGGCTAGAAAGGTGAAGCCGGATCCGCCCTGAAGAGTCGGAATCCGGCGGCTGCAAATCCTCGAAGCGTGGGCAGCCCGGGCAGCCCAGACACACCGCACGCTAACAGCAGCAGAATCAGAGGAAAGGAAATCCAGACGCACGAAAAGGGTAATCAAAAATAACAAAAAAATCCTATACACAATGTAGAAGGGTAGGGAGAGAAATAGAAGGAATAAAGTAAAAGAAATACTAAAATAATCACCACAGCTCTCAATTCACTTCAGCTCTTGTCAGTAACTGAGTGATAGACTGGAGCATGATGGGATTGGAAGCGTGCCTCAGTAGGAAGAGTTTAATCAGCTCTCACTCAGTTAGTGTCAAGAACTGAGGGAACGTCCCAGCTATGGACAGTGGGAGCAGCACTCTGGAAAATTTGTGAACTAATTTTTAAATGTATTCTTATGACAGCAATTATGTATACACTTATAAATTCCAGCTTAAATTTTTAATTACAAAATTATCTGATAGAATAAAACTGCAGCACCTTCTGTTACCCACATTCTTCCCCCTACAGAATAAAAGAAAGTTGAGAATGAAGCAATCAGTGACTGGGCACATTCATTTTTACCCAGTTGTAGTTTTAAGGCCAGGTGGTCTCTCAATAAAATAGCATCACATATGTATAGGTGATCAGACACCTCTCTCTCCTTTGCAGCTTTAAACTGAATTAACTGTTCATGGATAAAGGCAAATAATTCACTCTGAAACCAATATTTGTTTTTAAAATTCAAAATTATTTCTTAATTCAAGTTTACATTTTAATTCTTATTCTTTTTTCTTTCTGTGTATCCTTCCAAGTCGGTACTGATTCTAGGTGCAGCCTGGATTGGTTCCTGCATTTTCTTGGCAAGATTTTCAAAAGGGGTTGCCCCTTGTCTTCTTTTTATGGCCAAAAGTGACTAGCCCAAAGCTATCCACATAGCAACATGCTTACAGCAGGACTAGAATTCATGGTCTCCCAGTTTTTAGCCTGCCTTAACCAGTACACCAAACTAGCTCTTTCTTCAATTCATTACAAAGTATTGTCATATACATATATGACTAGTATACTAATAATTATGCATGTCCCTCTCCCCCAATGAAAATATTAAACAATCTAAAGATGAAAGAGCAACAATTGTTAAAAATGCTAGTGAAATGACTTACATGACAGGCCTTGGGACTATCTTTTCTAGGTAGAAACTATTAAGCAAATATGTACTGTTGGGAGATGTTTTGGGTCCTCACCCAGAGAGATATTTATCCAGAACAAGGCACTTTGGAAGAATTTTACCCTCTTATTTAAGGTTGGCCCTTCAACCTTTTGTCCTTTAGAGAGTAAACAAAGATCTTCCTCTTCCATAAAGCTTGGGGAAAGTGAATTTAATGGAAAATACCAGTAGATATTTAAAACAATTTCAATTTTTAATATGTTGGAGCTTATAAATGTTTACAATTTGCTGTTGTAAGCTACCTATTCAAATAGGTAGCATTTAAATATAATAAATATAATAAAATGATATTTGAAAAATTGAAAAAGTTAAAATTATGAGTCAAATTTTGACACAAAGGCTAAGGATTTCATGCCAGAAAATGGAGATAAAAATAATATCTCTGACAATAAGACATCATAATCAGCACCTGGTAATGGAGGAGGAACATGGCAAACAATAATATGTCTCTACAGCTGCAACCAATTTTTCCCCACTTTGTTTTTCTCCCTTAGTGGGCTAAAAAGAAACAAAGAATGTTGGATGATGAGACAGCATAAAATGAAGGCTTTTCTCCATAGCAAAATACAAATCCACTCTCAATGGGTGTATAACATTGCAGTACATTAGAAGTAAGATTTAATAAGCAGCATTCAAAAATCCAAAACTTGCTAATACTCAAATAGTATGAACTTCATCTAACAAAACTAATGAATAACTTGGGATTCACAGTAGATTTACAATAAATTTGGAAAAGCAGTGAATTTATTTAAAAAACCATATCTAAAATTTGTGCCAAATTAAAATAGGTAAAAGGGAACCAATGACCAGCTGGTCTTTCACAGGGTATCTCTGTTTTAATAGTTTTTATATTTAAATTTCATTGTTAATGTGATTTATATGAAATGGTTTTAACTATTGTTCTAGTATATGCATTAGTTGGAGCATGTGTTCATCCCGGGAAATATGTGGGATATTAGGGTTTTTTTTTGACAAATTCTTTCAATAGGAGTTCAATCAATATACTTTTACAAACTTTAGCAACCCAGTGTATTTCTACAGTTCAAGTCAGTATTGAAAATCATCTTCCAGATAGAAAACCAAAGCCTACATATCAGTTTAAGGATTCAACTCTTTTTTACCCATGGTAAATGCCAGTACTTTCAAATAAGATGGGCTAATAAACTTTTTTTGAGCTGAACAAAACAACTTATATTTGCTACAGCAATATATTTGCATTGAAATGGTGCATCTGAATGAAAAGTAAGGGGGAGAGGGCGAAATCAGTGAAAAATGTTTTAACGTCGTTATAAACCACGTTTTACTTAACTGACCCAAGCATATTAATTCTCATAATTCTAAAAAGAATAAAGCAAGTATACCAGCTGAGCTAAAATGTGCCAGGCTATTTTCTGATTTAACGTGTTATACTACTGATTTTAATTCGGTAAGGAACGGCCCAAGTAACCATATGTTAGTATGTTTCAGTATAACTAATATCTGCTGGTGTAACTCTAGTTAAAAGGAAGAAAGGATGCAAGCCAGCAGTTTCCCCAGCTTTTACCTAGCAAATGTCAGATTTCCAGTCTGGGCGAGGCCACACCCTCTATCCCGAAATTCTCACCCCAACGCTCTCATCCCTTCCTGACTTCGGAATCCTACGCTCTTGCGTACGGCTCTGAGTCTCTTAGATACCTGATGGAGCATCTCCGCTGGGAGCTGTGACGCCCTGAACAACTCTGCCACTTTACTGCCCCCGACAGCGGGGGGTCCCAATCCCGGTCCCGCCTCGGGAGTAGGCTGGCCGCCGCAAAGCGAAAAGAGCTCAGAAAAACACTGCTGCTCGTTTCTTGCCAAAAAGAATGCCGAGGTTCCTGCGGCTGCCGGTCCTGTGAGAGCTGTTCCCGCCGGTTCCATTTCAGGGAAAGGACGTCAATCGCTTTTCTAAGGCGAGGACAAAACCACACCAGAGGAGGAGGAAAGATCCTCCGTCGTTGCGGCGCGGAAGATGCAGTCCCCCTGGCTGCAGCGGCTGCTCTCCAGCTGAACTGCAGCCGTTCGTCTTTCCCCGGTGCGGAAGAGCGTTATCTCTGCAGTACTGCCCCTCAGGCGGGAGCAGGGCGGGGAAGAGCGAAAACGAACTTCCGCGCGCCTTCGCCCTTTTTGCGTTTAAGAGCGGAGTCAATTTTCCCGCCAGAAGAGAAGGAAGAAAGGAAAAAAGCCTCTCGGGGACGCGCGATTGAGTAGCGTCTTCCGGCTCTGCGACCTCACCTCACATCGGCTGGAATAGTGTGGGCAGTTGGCTGCTTTCCCCTGGGGGGTGGCGGGTGTGAGGGACTGTGGAACTGGGAGGCTGCATGAACCTCACAGGGCGAAGTATACGGCGTCTCCAAGACACTGAAAGCCGAGCTCTGTTGCAAGGTTGATGTTTCGGACTTGCTGCGTCAGAGCGTTGTCAGAAGAATAATTTGGGGTTCCAACTCAAGCCAGGATTGCGCAACAATAAATAAAAATGAGATCCGGACAGCTGTGAAGAAAAAATAAATATTTATTCTTTAAAGCAAATAGGAATAAAGCTGCAGAGAAATGGGGTACAGCCACAGACCTTTATAGGGCACCTTGTCCTGATGTTGAAGTGTCTGAGCTGATTCTAGGGTGACACGAGGTGTGTGTGTGTGTAGTTATGTCTATGATGTTTATTCTTGTGAACCTGCTGGGAGATCTAATTTAATTAACTATTTGTGTTTGCAGATCGCCTCCTTTGATATGTGGATTAGGTCTGGGTAATGTATTGGAGGAAGTTTGAGTAATTTATTAAGGAAGTTTGAGTAAAAGATTTTTCCCAATTTTTTACTTGATTAGTTTCAGCTTGACTGTCAATTACGTAGTGGAGATATTGATTCTCAGACCATTATGGATTCTGTTAAACTTTTAAAGGAAAATGGAAACAGTATAAAACATATACTTTTATATAAAACTTCTCACAGCATATATAGCAGGCTTCTGTAGCTATCCTGGATTAAGCTATTTGGGGATTTTGCCAACTCATTTTCTGCCCTAAAAGCACCCTCTGTGTCAAAAATGGGGATTCATTGCCTGTGGCTGATTTTCAACCATGTAATTATTTTCCACTTAAGATTTTCCAAAGCTAAAATAGTGCAATTTACTAAAGTAAGCCCCTCCTGTTATTGCAGGTGCACCTTAAATTAAACTTTACTTTAATATTGCCAATATTTTATTATTCTTGATTATGACATATTTTAAGTCATTTCAGGAGAAAAATTGTAGTGTAATTACAAATTGGTAAGTGGTGAGGGAATACAATTAGGTTTAAGTGAAATGCTAATAAAAATACAGAAATTATACATCCATGGAGATGGATTATATTGTGGGTGGGTGTGCGCATTTTTTGGCAGAATTTTATGTTGTCATCTTGGTTCCAGAGAAAGTATAGTTATTGTATATAAAATCTGAAATGGACTGCCCAGCCCATGTCCAGCAGCTGCTGCAAAAACATTTCAGGCAGCTGTGAACTCAATTGGCTCTCAGTCCCTCCCAAGCCACCGACAGGCAAGAACCTTCAGCCAGAGCAGCCTGGAGCAATTTAATCCTTTTAATTTACAGTTAACCTGGTTACTAATACTATTACTTCTCCTCCTTCTCTTCTTTCTTGGCCTTGCTTTTCTCCCTCTTCTTTTCCTTGTCATCTTTCTTCTTCTTACTCTCCTCGTTCTCCTGCCCCCCCTTCTTCTCGGCATCTCTGTTGACAATCTTGTTGAGGATGTGCAGGGCAGCCAAGGGGCGGGTGGACTGAGGCTGCTGCTGGACACCGTCGCCCCCACCCCATGCTCGCTGCCTTCTGTGCTGGCCACACCCACCTACCCCCTGTCCCCCCCCCCGGGCTGACGATCTTAGTGGGCTTGTTTTAGGGATAGAGCTTATATTAGGAGCATTTTTAAAAAATCATGCTAGGGCTTATTTTCTGGTTGGGTCTTATTTTCGGGGAAACAGTAGTTTTTATGTTTTACATAACTTGCAGTAGAAGTAAGGATCTAATGCTTGATTTTAGAACTCATCCAGATGGCTAGATTATAAAGAGGACTTCTACCAGTCCTTGAGGTGATAGAAAACTATGGCAGCATAAAATGTGCTGACTTAATTACTTAGCCCTATTCTCACACAGTAATAGAGCCAATATATTGATGCTGCCCTTACTGATGGCATGTGGGTTAAGGAAAGTGATTTGTGGTACTCCCCTTACCATCTCACTTTCTAGCAAGAAAACAATCACCTTTCATGCTCCCTACTTTGGTAGGGCAAGTTTAGATTTTCTAGGTGGGTGGTCAGAAGCGAATGTCCAGTTGCTCGACTACCAAGTTTATTTATATAATTCTAATTTATGCAGCCATTTGACACAAATACATGACTGGGTGACTTACAGGAAATTTAAAAAAAATGCAAGATAAAAATACATCAAGCCACATCAAAAACTATATAACATAATTTACAGTCAAGGTAGAGGTAGTCCTCGACTTACAACAGTTCATTTAGTGACCTTTCAAAGTTACAATGGTACTGAAGTTATGATTTATGACTAATGACTTATGACTAAGTTTCACAATTACAACCTTTGAAGTATCCCCATGATCATGTTAACAAAATTCAGATGCTTGGCAATTGGTTTGTACTTGACTTGCTGTGTTCCAAGGTCATGTGATCATCTTTTGCAATCTCCTGACAAGCAAAGTCAATGGAGAAGCCAGATTCACTTAACTATATTACTAACTTATCAAGTGCAGTGATTCACTTAACAACTGTGTATAAAATGGGGAAAAACTCAGTTAACAAATGTTTCACTTAACAACATACATTTTGGGCTCAATTGTGGTCATAAGATGAGAACTACCTGTATAAAAAAACATACAGGCTGCATAACATACAGCCATAAATAAGCCAACAATAACATACATCAGCCTAATTCACCACACAGGGTTGTTGTGTGAAAAATCGGAAAAGGAAGATGTGTTGGATATGTTCACTGCCTTGGGTTGTTTGCCCTTATTAACTAGTAAAGGCATTAAAACTGATAAAAGTATTTTCCAACATGGTGTGTGTGTGTGTGTGTATTCAAAATAATTTGAATATCATTTATGATATAATTTAAGAAACTAATATAAAGTTATATCTAAGACTATTGGTTCTCACTTTTTGGAAATGTAAGATCTGTTTCTAAAAACCATCTTAGTTTTTTGTGAAAACACAGTATATTCCTCAGTAGGAAGGAAAGGCTATGACATCGATGCAGGTAAAGATGTAGCTATATTTAATCCTCCCACACTTTATAAACATTGTTAGTCAGAGTTTTTAAAATGCATCTTGTCATCAAGAGTTTTATATTGTTTTAAATTACTAAATGAACAGAAGTGAGTATATTTGTAACTCTGAATTGATGGTTGATGCAATTGAAACAATTATATACTGTGCTAGAAAAAATATTCAATGTATTTTAAATTTATTAAATTTTGTGTGTTAATTTATGTAGATTAACATAGTGCAATAATGTAAATTGTTGAATTTCAAGCTCTAAATTGTTTCTTGCTATTAATTTTTTAACAATGAAAACTGCAATTGTATGGCACGCACAGAAAACTTTTGTTGGTTTTCAATTTTAATCATACCTGATTATTAAGCATTTTATATGAGCCTAGCTGGAATTGCAGCCTAGATTCTAGAGAACCACAGTATCTACCTACTACTCTATCCTTAGCCATTTTATTTATGGATTTTTAAGTATACACACTTTTTAAAAATTATATTACCAGAAAACTGGCCATGTTTACAAGGGTGGGCTCAAAGTTAATAATTTTCTTAACACTTATATTCAAGATAAATTAATTTTTTTCAAGGTGAGCTCATGTAATCGAGCATGTAAGTACGCAACAGAAGCAGTGTAGGCTATGGAAACTTTAGGTCTTAGGCCGGTGTTGGCAAATCTTTTTGGCACGAAAAGTAGATGGTCTTCCGGTTTCTGGCACGAATGCGCTGGCTCCGCCTGGCCTTTCGGGGATCCTTGCACTTCCCTGCCTGTCCCCCGGTCCCCACCGGGGTGGCGGGACATCTCCACCAACGACCTGGTTCCGCAGACCCAGACAGGGAAAGTTGGGCAGGGAGTGCCGCCTCCCTCTGCTGGAAAGCCAGAGCCCCTTCCTGGCCTTGGAGGTAAGGGCGTTGGTGTTCCCAGGGCTCAACCTGGGGGGCCAGCAGGCGGGAGAGCTTCACCCCGACTCTGGCCAGGATGAAGCACTCCCCCAGCCTGCCACTAAGAACAAGCCAGCGCACCCCCACTCTTATCCCTCGGCGGCGCCTTCCCACTTCCCGACCGGCCCAGTGCGCCTCTTACCCCTTGGCAGTGTCTCCATGCTGCACTCTCCTCCGGCCCTCCTGGGACAGCTCGCTTCCCCAACGGCGGCTCCTTTTCCTCCTGGCTGCTCCAGCATCCTGGCCAGAAGCGGCAGCGTGAGAACCATTGCTGCCCCCTTGCGGCGGCAGGAGCAGTGGGCGGGGCAGCCACCCACCCAGCCAACAAACACTGCCCTGTACACACGAGCCAGACGCCTGTCAGTGCCGCGGGCTGGAGGTGCGCAAGAAGCCTGCTCAGGCGGGGAGGGAGGGAAGCTGATATTCTGGTTTCTGGCGTGCACATGAGCACTGGCCAGCTGGAACGAACACTAGGTGGCCAGCGTGCATGTGCAGGCCGGAAACCAGATTTTCCCAGTGCGCACATGCACACCAGGCAGCTTTCCCCACGCAGGTGAAAACCAGCTGGCCAGCACACCAGAACCCAGAAGAGCAACAGGCAATGGTTCGTGTACCTGGACAGATGGTTCTGCGTGCCACTTCCGGCACGCGTGCCATAGGTTTGCCATCACGGTCATAGGCTATAAAGTCTTTAGTAACATTAGGAATAATAGCACGGTCATCATCTTACTTCCATCTACAGGAGACATTGTTCCATTGAGGCACTCAACTCTTAAGAGTTTTAATTTCTATTCTAACTTTGATACCAAACTAAAGACAGAAAACTGAATGTCATTATAATTAAGGCATTTTAACTCTGATATGATCACATATCTGTGGACAAATTCAACATTGAGAAAAACAAAGCCAATCTTAATTAGAATAAAAGACACGAAGTCTAATATATTAAGCACACATATTTACTTAATCTACACAGAGGAGATCTATACGGAGTAGATAAAATTTCAGTTTCGCATTAGTGAAAAATTTCTACAAAATGTTCCTGAAAAGCAAAAACCAAGAGTGCCTATTTAGTCAGCATTTTTCATGGGTATGGGTTGCAATAATAAAGCAGCGTTCAGCACAAGCTAAAGT